CTCCCTCATCTATCACACCTGATTCAACTCATCAGCTCATTAGTGGAGACTGCAAGACCTGAAGTGGGTGTGTCAGATATAGGGAGACATACAAAATGTGCAGTGCTGGGGGTACTTCATGGAGAGGTTTGGGAACCACTGGCCTAATGCAATCAAAAGTCAAAGATATGACACAAACAAGCCATTCACATAATATTACACCCCAAATTTCAAAACATTCAAAAACACTGGCTTAGACATTCACATCCAGTTAGGTAATAATTAAAGGATCATAAGATTTCACAACTACACAATGGAGCCCCATATTCTTATGACACATAAGACTTGAACACAAATGGGCAATTCTTTGCATATCTTTAACCAATACAAATTGCAAATCACATCATTCTGACCTAGATTTAAACAAAATATGCTTTATTCCCCCAAAAAAAGTATGTAAAATCCTGTTAACTCTTAAACTTAGTGATCACTGGATATGGATAGAACAGCATTGTATAGAGAATTACATTAAGCCTCTAAGCAGAGATTATTCACAAATAACATTGTGGAAATGAAGAATACAAAGCAGATTATTGGTTCTTAAACATGGGTGACTTTAGATGGTACTGCTCTCTATTCATTCTCAGTCACCTCCTGAGGGCACTCTCCATCTCCTTCCTCTCTTGTCGTGCCTCTTTGATTTGATACGTGACACGGGCCAGGAACTCTTCAAAGTTGGACAAGAGGTGAGGCTCATCTTTCCTGAGCTGAGCCCACAGGTTGCGAACCTCACTCGGGCTGAAATGAAGAAGAAACTGTTAGTACTTGTAGCTATATAAAACGTAAATGTAAAGCATTTTGTGCAGAGCAAACTGTAAAACACCAGTACTAACTCTTCAAATACATTGCTAGCACCCAAGCTCTCCATCAACATGCTGAAATGTCTCTCTTCATCATCCTCGTTCTCTGACAGCTGTTCATCCCCTGAACTCTGATCAAGAGCTTCTGGAACTATTTGAGAGGATGTAGTCATTAGTTCCTCTGTCATAGAGACTCTCCGTCCATAAAGAAAGTTACCTGGGGAACAGTTACAGATAAGCCTTGGAAAAGTTTCATTTGCTGTGCTATAAATATTGCAGCAAATAACACATCATTTTTTGAAGAGCTCCTTTTGTCTGGAAGGAGATGATAAACTTACTAAATCCAGAGGAAAACTCTCCTAGCGTCAGGTATCCATTTTTGTCAAGATCTAGTGAGTCAAAGACGTTCTCGAGTTCCTCAGTAGTGAGTGGCAATTCTTTGTGCAGCCTCTAAGAAATAGATGGAAAAATGACATCAACAATTTTCTGCTACTAGATATTTTACCAGCCTATTATGAACATTGTAAATAAAAAAATAACTTTTAAATAGGAAGGTAAAAAAATGCAAGATATGCACCCTAAATATTTAGAACCAAAACTTTGATGGCCATAGAATGGCTAAAAAATATAAAAACCTCATTTGAATAGACAGAGCTGTTTGGTTATACTAAAGCCACGACAGATAAAAAAAACAATAAAATAAAAAACAAGTGGTGTCCCCTTTAAGGACCCCTACTTTACCGTCATATCCGTACGTGTGATGAAGCCCTTTCCCTCGCTGTCACAGATCTGGAAAAAGTCCTCTTTTTTGTCCAACATAGCAATGTGTCCCCATTCTGCCTCCTTATTCACACTTTTCCTTGACTTTTCCTGCTTCTCATCCTGGTCTGAGCCACTGCTGATGACCTGTGTGGAACTAGCATGTCCAGTCTCTGACATGATTCCAGAATAACTTGCCTTGACTGTCTTAAACAGGTCAGGATGCAGTGCAGGCGAGAGACGTGACTCAAATGGGCTGGACATCAAAGCTAGGTCCAGTACGAAGAATTATCCTGATTAATTGAGGAGATGTAATGCATTGTTGTCTTGAACTGAATCTCTGCTGTGGGTCCCAGCTGGAAGTGCAAGAAAAAGTCATGTCAACAATCCTTTGAGTCTTTAGGAATGTTAAGACTTTGAGAAGTGAAATGCAGATTATTGTTGTATATGTGTTTGTGTGCATGCAGCAGAACAGATTTACAAGCCTTGAGCTTAAACTTCAGCCTCACTTTGGCTTTGAGTGAGAACTGTAAAAACGAAACATTTAATGTTTAATTGAACACTTGAATATTTTAACTCTAAGTAATAAAATTATAAAAGTTGCTAAATATATTTAGAATAAATATAATTGTGTGGGTGTGTGTGTGTATATGTGTGTGAATAATATATATACCTTGCTATGTGTACTGCATTAGGCTAACCGAGACTTGTCATTTGCACTTATATATTGTTGCTCTTTTGTTAGTTTTGACTGCTTTTATTGTCCTCATTTGTAAGTTGTTTTGGATAAAAGCGTCTGCTAAATGACTAAATGTAATGTAAATGTAAATGTAAAATTATGTATAGGAATGTACGGAAGATTATATGATAAGAAAAACTCTGTAATTTTGACATGCATATACAGTTAGTTATATTTAGTTCAATTTAATCAAGTTCATTTAGATCATGAAAAGTGATTGTAAATTTGTCAGTGCACATTTACAAAGCCACTGCTGATGTCATCTGTGTGCAGACCTGTCACTTTTTTTTTGCTTTGATGTCCCACCACCACAATGTCAAGGGGAAAAGGAAGAGGTTTCTGTGGTGAAATTTCCTGTTTGAACAGAAGTTGAATTTGCTAAGGTTTGGACAAGAGGCTATCAAGTATTTTATATTTATATTTAAGCATACACCAATTAAAATGACTCTGTTGTTTGTCTAAATGGTTCCATAAAGAACCTTTAACATCTGAAGAACCTTTCTGTTTCACAAAAAGGTTCTTTGTGGCGAAAGAAGGTTCTTCAGATTATAAAAAGATAAGAAAGAGATTGTTCTTTAAAGAACCTTTGACTGAATGGTTCTTTGTGTAAACAAAAATGGTTCTTCTATGGCATCGCTGTGAAGAAAGCACCTTTATTTTTAAGAGTGGGGTTGACAGACAGTAAGGTTGACGCACATATTGCTCCTCGTTTAGCAATAAAAGTTGAATGCCAGTGTTCTGAGTAATTTGTGACATTCAACTAAATACACAACGAAATACTGAATTAATGAAGCTTCAAACTACAATTATATGCATACGAAGTTCTTATAGAGAGCAATAAGTAAAATTACAATTCTTACCTGAACAATAAAACAAGTATTTTACTCTTCCAGGTATATGTCTACAATAATGTTAGTATTAACTTGTTTAATTAAATCCAGTAACTGAGTGCAGTTTGTGGAGAGCTTACTCGGTTTTATCATGGTGCGCGAGAAGAGGAGGAGGAACAGGGTTGCCAGGTTTTCACAACAAAACCCGCCCAATCGGTCTTTGTCAGTCACGTGCGTTTATTATGTGTGACGTCACCGAGGCGCCATTTTGAAGGTATCGTTGCATTGAGCAGTGACCTAAAAGTGTGCAGAGCCGTGCAGTAAAGACCGATTAAATCGTCATACTGGAGAAACAGATGCAAACCAAGTAGATACGGTACCGAGATAATCTCAGCGCTCGTCAGAATGCTCTCGATGGTGCCTCTGTAGAAGGTGCACATGATGGGGGCCGGGGCTCTGGCTCTTCTTAGTTTGCGTGTAAACACGTAATAACGTGTATTATGTAAAACTTATAATGCAAATGAAATCTTAAAATGATCTACTTAAAGGGGTAATAGGATGCCCATTTTTTTTTATATGATTCTTTAGGGTCTTAATGAAAAGTCTGTAACATAGTTTGGTTAACATTTCTCAACGGTAGTGTAAAAAACACCTTTTTACCCTGTCAAAAACAGCTCTTTTCAGATCAAGCCGATTTTGTAGCATTTTCCTTGAAATGTTAATGAGCTATGCTGACCCCACCCCTCTCTTCCTAGCTGCTCTCAGAGAGACTCCCCTTGTCCAAATACCCACACTTATGGTCTTGGCCACTTGAGAGCGCATAACAGGAAGTAAGTGTGCAAGACTGTCCCAGGTCTTAAAATTACCAAAGCGCAGTGCCCTTAACGCACACTAAACCCACACTATCTCGAATACCGCTCCGGAGCGGTATTCGAGGGTTATTGTATCCCATTATGCATCATGTTCTGGAAATAAATCGTGAGACTTTTTGCCAAGATCACGCGAGAGGTCACGGAAACCTTTCCAATGTAAGTTAAATATTAATAATAATAAGATATTACATATAATTTGGTGGAAAAACAAAGTGCTGTTTTAATAAGATAAGAATAAGATCTTTATTGCTGCAAAGATTAGTATATTTATTTTTGTACAACATTTGCAGCTGCTTTTTATCACTTAATTAAATTGTGTCGTCTATAGGGACTACTGAACAGACATTTATAAGTTGATTTTAAAATGCAAAGTATTGAAAATAATAATAAAACTCTGTAAACACTTTGCGCAATTGAAAATAATAATAAAACTCTGTAAACACTTTGCGTTTTTACAACACTATAAGTGTGTCCCATCAGGTAATGAGTTGTACACACACTTGTGGTCTTCATGCTCACTTGAACACTTGGGCCAAATACAGGAAATACGTCATATAAGTAGTCAAGAGGTCAAGTGCAAAGACCACAAGTGTGTGTATTTGGACAAGGCAACTGTTTACTTCAGCCGCATTCATCTGAAACTTGCTAACTAGCACATTAGCAAAGGCGATTTGCAAGGATTCATTACAAAACATTATACTCACTTCCTCTGTAGATGAGGCTGGATCATGAAAGATTCGCGCGAACATA